CCAGAGATCGCTTCTGTTCCGATAGGCACCTACAGACCACCGCCTTGAGGAAAGGTGTATTGCATTAATGGCTTCTTACTACGCGTAGTTGCTGTAGTTTCTGTAGTTGCTGTAGTTGGGGTATCAGGTCCTGTCTTGGCGAGACTAGCGGGCGGGACCGCTTTTTTTCACGGCCTGGGATCGCTTCTTTGCCGATAGGCACCTATAGTCTACCGCCTTGAGGAAAATTATATCAGAGAAGAAGCGATCTCTGGCCGTGAAAAAAGACGGTCCCGCCCGCTAGCCTCGTCAAGACAAGACCTGATACCCCAACTACAGCAACTACAGGAACTACAGCAACTGCGCGTAGTAAAAAAGCCTTTCATACAATATACCTTTCCTCAAGGCGGTGGACTCCAGTTGACTTTCGGCACAGTAGCGATCCCAGGCCGTGAAAAAAGACGGTCCCGCCCGCTAGCTTCGCCAAGACAAGACCTGACACTCCAACTCCACAGCAACTACGCGTAGTAAGAAAGTCTTTCATACAATATATCTTTCCTCAAGGCGGTGGACTGTAGGTGCCTATGGGCACAGAGACGATCTCAGGCCGTGAAAAAAGACGGTCCCGCCCGCTAGCTTCGCCAAGACAAGACCTGATACTCAAACTACAGCAACTACGCGTAGTAAGAAAGCATTTCATACAATGTACCTTTCCTCAAGGCGATGGACTCAGGTGCCTATCGGCAAAGAAGCGATCTCAGGCCGTGAAAAAGGCCCCGTCCGCTAGTCTTGCCAAGACAAGACCCGATACTCCAACTCCAACTACAGCATATACAGGGACTACGCGTAGTTAGAAAGCCTTTCATATAATTTACCTTTCCTCAAGGCGGTGCACTCTTAGTAGTGCCTATCGGCATAGAAGCGATCCCAGGCCGTGAAAAAAGACGGTCCTGCCCGCTAGCCTTTTCGTGGGAAGGGTTTACTACAATGCAATGAACTGACTACGACGATTTCGTGATGCGGTAGTCGGATGTTACGTGTACATAATCACACTGCCGGAGTAGGCACACATGTACCGGACAGAAATGTGGCACACAATCGGGTTGTGAGCTCACAAGGCCCCGAAACTTTGGTTACGTGTCCTGGCGATTTCGTGATTTTGGGTGACGCGTGTTCTTGTGATATTTTACAGTCGATGCCACTGGTACGCACTGGGCGCACGCACTGGTACGCACGCGTACGCGCTGGGCGCACTGGTACGCACTGGGCACAGTGAAACCAGGTAGGCGTGGCGAATACGATCGGGAAGTGAGCGCGAAGAACCCCGCGCGCCTGGATGCCTTACATGGAACATGTGCCGAAAGTTTAAGGTGAGAAGAAATCTGATACAATTTAGGTTCATTTTTTATTCCCAGAAGCTCGTAAGTGGCGTGAAGATTTGCGCTGCGGAAAGGACTACCTTGTTGAACACGGTAAACCTGCTGAATGTGACCCCGGCAGTCATTACCCATGCTGCTCCTCGAAAAATCACTGTGGCAGCACTGCAGCCGACTGTGACTGTCTGGATTGTGTCAACTACAGGGACACATTGTCAGGTATATATTTATGTTTACCTTCGCAGAAGGAAAGCATATTGCTTTTTCTCTGTTTCTTCTTCCCCCTCTTCTTCTGCTGTAGCAGACACCCTGTGGTTACATTATGTAGCAGGGCAGAGCTGGAGGGGTTGCTCACCATGTATGTGTATGAATGTGTGTGAGTAAGAATAAACAGATCAGTAGTTTGTTAGGCTAGACCATTATGCATTAAATTCTGCTTTTCAAATGTTACCTTTCTAGTCATTGACTTGATCACAATTATACATCACGTGATGATAGAGCAGTATATAATGCATTCTTACGTAACGTTTAATAACTGTCAATCCTATCATAAAAGAAAGGTACACATTTGCAAGCAATTGCAGAAGGATTTACCTTCACATGGTCTAACTAAACATTTTTATATTTCTATCAAGAAAACAAGGTCCGGGCCCTCTAACCCTCTAACGGAAGACACTTTTACTTATTTGACATCACAAAGCACAAGGTGTTGCATTTAAATTCTAATCTCATTTCAATTTTTCAAATTTTTTTCTCAAACTCAACATAGGAATTTGTGCAAATGGAAACGTCATTGACAAGACCCAGATTTGTGATGATACAGACGACTGTGGAGACAATACAGACGAACAACAAAACTGTTGTAAGTAGAAACGCGGAAGAGCAACATTTTATCATGATCTGCTCGGAAATGTAGATTTTCAATTAGGTAACCATATGGCTTACCATCACCTGCAACTTTGACATCAGAAATATACGATAAAAACCTTAAGTCAAAAATAATCTAGATCATATTGAGTACTTAGAGGATAGAAACATGTGCACCCTGCGTACTACTATAAACAAAAGAAGAATTTAATAGTCCCTGGCAATGTCTACCAAGACTTGAACAAATAATATGTATTTCAATTTGAATTTTATAACCTGTATCTGTGATGATTTTAATGTTATTTTTTTTATGAATAAAGTCTGTCTACTTCACATATATATAATGTAGACAATATTTAAACTTGATGTAAATGTAGTAACAATTTCTCACTGTTCTCAGGTGAGAGACGAGGTAGGAAAAGCTGCGCCAATGGACACACATGCATTGACAATAGTAACTTTTGTGACCGAGTAACGCACTGTGCAGATGGCAGTGACGAACTATACTGTCGTAAGTGTTGTCGATGTCTCTCTTTTTTGTCTGATACATTCTACGTTTGCCATTTTGTCAAAACGCCTCAAGAACCTTGCCCTCAGAATGACTCAGATTAAGATTACAGTAGGACATAAAATATCACTTTGATATAGAACTGTCTTTCGTGTTGCTAGCATTGTTACGTGTCTTATAATACAGCTAAACCCACATTAAGGTTCCGTTCCGGATGGAAGTCCAGAGGTTTAGGTCCAGTTCCGGATTTTTAAGTCCGGTGTTACAGCGATCTCGCCCCCCCCCCCGGAAATCGCTAGCGATATTGTGACCAACACGCTATTGGCTGTCAGCATCGGCTGTCATGGTCACAATTAAAAGTTTCCTTCAGTAGCATTTTGTTAAAAATTTTGTTACCCTCTGGTCGGTCTCCGGTAGGCACCCGGCAGGAACCCGGCAGATTCTCTGACGATGTCTTGTACTGACCCATACGTAATGCAGAATTCACGCTTTTGTTGTGATCATTTGATCTGTGACGTCACACTTTTACCAGGGTTTACGAAGTATACACTTTTATTCTGTTCATCTGGTCTGTGACGTAACAAATGTGTATGTCCCGGTGGACTGGCAGCAACCGGAGGGGTACCTGTCGGTGTTCTCACGGCTCGGTCACGGCGTCTTTTTGTCAGCGGGGCCCGAGTAGAATTTAAGTCAGAATTAAATTCTTCTCGGGTCCCCGCTGGGCCGAAAAATAGCCCGGTAGCCGCAGGGTGTCCCGCGGGGCCACGTAGGGGTCACGCCCGAAAGTGCCATAAAACAGCCCGGGCACTACCCGGCAGGGCCCCTTTTTTTAATTGGGACCGAAGCATTAGTGGGGCGAAATCGCAGGAGGCCAAAATCGCTGCGACACCGGTCCTAAATCCATGGCACATACAAAATTGAATGTAAACATTTAGTACATGCAATTGACACCATGTACATGTATATACAATGGTACAAAAAACGTGCTATTGAAGCAAATAGAACAATTTTACAACTGATAGGATCTTATAACCCTCAGCTCTTTCTGCGTGTGACAATGGCGGCCTGTTTCACCCGCATACTCGATGTGACGGCAGAGATGACTGTGGAGACAACAGTGATGAGAAGAACTGTGGTGAGTTACTCCACACACAGTAATCAGACAACCCCAACGTGAAATCATTAATTAACCCTACGGCTAAAAGTGCCCGCGCCAACTTTGATTGCTAGCGCTAGAACGGCCAAACTTGGTGACTTTTCCTAGAATATTGTTGGCAACAATTCTGTATCATTGGAATAAGATAATGATTTTTTGTGTTGCCATGGCAACGGGTTTCTGACAGGCATTTTTTTTTGCTAAATTTAGTAATTTTCTTTTCAACAATAGAATTTATGGCTTTTATGTCAAGTTTGATTTGATTTGATTTGATTTGATTTATTAGGATTGCAAACAAGTACAATACTCGTGGGCCACAGGCAGCGGGGGCTGGTGTTGTGGCCCCCACACAAAACAATCACAAGCACACAAACAAGACACACATTTAAACCTAGTATAAGTATATAAAAATAAGTATAGGGTCCTAAAAACAGCATAGATTAGAATACTAGTATATCAGTCCATTTAGTACTAGATACAGTTCATGCGGTTTCTAGCCGCCAGAATGTTCTCGTATCTGGGGCCACGTCTCCGGGTCAACTGGTTCTTCTGCTGTGTGAGCAGGTGGGCCCGACACATGTTCTTAAATATAGTGATGCTGCGGGCCTCTCTAACAGACTGAGGCAGCTGATTCCACAGCCGTGAGGCATAAGGCAGAAAGCTGGCCTGGTACGTCTGTGTACGGCACCGAGGTAAGTGGAGGTGCGTTGCGTTCCGCAGCTGAACACGTGTGACCCTTTGGTCTCCTCGTGAGGTGGGAATTAGTGGCTGGAGGTGAGGGGGGACTAGTCCGTTCACCAGTTTGTACATCAGAACCATGGAATGGAACTGCCTCCTGGTGGACAGACTGTCCCATTCTAACTCCTGCATGACGACACTTGATGGTGTACGTCTCAAGGCTCCGGTGATGAGGCAGCCGGCCTGGTAATGCACTCTCTCCAACATCTTGCTGGATGAGCAGGACAAGTCCCCGAGCAGTACGGCGGCGTACTCCAGTTTTGGTCTGACCATTGTGTTGTACGCCATTTCAAGTGCCTCCCGGGATAGCTTGCCCTGGAGTTTCCATAGGAGTTACATATGGTTTCTAATATTGATAACATTCCAGATAATTTTATGTAAATTTCATAAGTAAAAATGCATACTTTATGCTAATTTGATGACGTCATAACTGTGGCATGTTTTGTCTAAAAACCAATTTTCGCAGAGAATTATTGATGTTTCATATTTTTTCCCGGCCCTTTGGATTTAGTCCCAAGGCACGAGGTCCATTTTGATGACGTCATTTGGTCACGTGATTACACCAAGAAAGCTACTCATACAGACTTGCTATCA